GTCAACTTCAAGGTGAGCCACCAGTCGGGTGGGGAGGGTGAGATAGCTGGAGAGGCACCTGGGGTGGAGGGCAGAGGGCCTTCCTCAGTGGCAGAGTGCCTCAGGTTCTGGAAGGAAGGGTAGGGCAGGGGCAGCAGCCTGTGGCCCCTGCGCTCCCCTAAAGCTCCTTCTCCGCAGCTCCTGAGCCACTGCCTGCTGGTGACCCTGGCCTGTCACCACCCAGCAGAACTCACTCCTGCGGTCCACGCCTCCTTCGACAAGTTCATGGCTTCTGTGAGCACCGTCCTGACCTCCAAATACCGTTAAGGCGTAGCCTTGGTGACCCCTGTCCCCTGCCTTGGACCTCTGGGCCAGGCCCTTTTTCCCTCTCTGCACCACACCTCCTGGTCTTTGAATAAAGTCTGAGTGGGTGGCAGCTTGTGTACCTGAGTCCTCTCTGTCAGGGAAGGTGCTGGGGTTGGGAGTGGGCAGTGTGGGGGGTACACATCCCCAGGATCTCTATGTAGCTGGTGAGGGCAGGAAAGAGCAGGAGAAGAGTGGAGAGTGAAGGGGAGGGTAGTTGAGCTGTCTTGAGGTTGCTGCCCAGGACACAGTGGAAAACTCTCCAACCCTGGTGTGTTTTTCTTCGACTTTATTTGTCCCTTCCCGCATTTTATTCCCGGAACTTGAGATTCAATGCAAGTGTCCTGAAATAATGAATTCCTTCCCTATCTTTACATTTCAAGGCACACAAATAAGAATTGGGTGGGACTTGCCAGCTCTTCTACAGCTCCTCCCATATGTAGGGACCTCAAGGAGATCCCACTCCTTTTCAGTTGAGTTAAATTGCCCCTTTCCTCCACTTGTCTCCCTAAAGCCTCCCAAACACATGCAGAGTCTAGATGAAATTGGGAGTGATGGAGATGCCAGACAATTATCTGGAGTTACCCCCTTTACGTTGGCACCAAGCAGGTGATGTTCTCTCTCAGACACTGTTCCGTGGCCACCAAGGTCAGGAGGCCCAGATCCACTCATCTGTCCTGAGACTGGTGGCCCTGCCCAAGTGGGGCAGTGGAGAAGCTAGCCAGGGCCTGATCCCCAGGTGCTTCCTTCCTACCAAGCAGGCCCCCAGTGCCTTAAGCATCAGAGGGGAGACTCAGGGTGCCCAGGCCTGGCAGCCATATAGTCCACAAATTATGTGATCCCATTTATATGAAATATCCAGAGTAAGCAAATCTGTAAGAAAAGGTACATTATTGGTTGCTAGAGACTGGAGGAAGAGGGTTGGACAGTTACAGCTTATTTCTGCCTAGAATAATTAAAAAGCCAGGCTCAGTGGCTCACACCTATAATCCTAGCACTCTGGAAGGCCGAGGAGGGTGGATTGCTCGAGCTTGCCTGTTCACAACCAGCCTGAAGAAGAGCAAGACCTCTTCTCTAAAAATAGCCGGGTACTGTGGCTGGTGCCTGTAGTCCTAGCTACTCCAGAGGCTGAGGCAAAAGGATCACTTGAGCCCAGGAGTTTGAGATTGCTTTGAACTATGACACCACAGCATTCTATGCAGGGTGACAAAGTGAGACTCTGTCTCAAAAAATAAAATTAGAATGAAAAACTTCTTAGAGAGTGATGAAGGTAGCACAACAGTGTGAATGTACTTAATGTCTGTATTGTACATCTTTAAAAATGGCTAAAATTGTAATTTATATTATCTGAATGTTAGCACAATTCTTTTTCAAAAAAGATACAGAGTGAGTGCCGCATGGGTACTTGCTGTCATTACTGGGATACATACGGTATTTACTGGGGTACACACGGTAAATAAATACTGAAAGGACCATCTGCTATGAGACAGTCTTCTGTCATTTGTTATCCATTTAATTCTCACAGCAACCCTAAGAAGAAATTGTTATCCTCATTTTATACACAAAGTGAGAAAATGGACTCAGGAGGCAGAATTAGCTGATTTCCAATGTCAAAATCCATACTGAAATTCATTATTACCCAATAATGATAATATATATTAAATATTGTTTTCTATAAACTTGAAAAGGAATGGCTTCAGAGTCCACGGCGATTCCGCGGTATCGCGATTCCCGCGATTCCCAGGTTGGAACTGACTCTGCGATTAAGACCTCACAGACCCCTCGGGACACAGCTCTGAGACCGGAGCCGCGGCAAGATACCCGCGCGGCGCCCCCTGGAGGCCCGTGGGGACCCACCGGGCGGTCCGCGCTAGCGCGAACTCCCGCGCTGCGCTTGGCAGGCCCCAGGCGCCGAAATGGAATTGTCTGCAGCCGACCGGGCGCTACTGCGCGCCCTCTGGAAGAAGTTGGGCAGCAATGTCGGTGTCTACACGACCGAGGCTCTAGAGAGGTGCGGGCAAGGCCAGGCGATCTCCCGGCTCACCTGCTGCTCCGCCGGCCCCGGGGAGCTTTGCTGTCCCCTCCCAGGACCTCTTCACGCACCTCAGCCTCCGTTCCTCCCCGCAGGATGTTCCTGGCCTTTCCCCTCACCAAGACCTACTTCCCCCACCTGAACCTGAGCCCTGGCTCTGCCCAGGTCAAAGCCCACGGCCAGAAGGTGGCCGCTGCGCTGACCCTCGCAGTCTACCACCTCGACGACTTGCCTGACACTTTGTCGGCTCTGAGCGACTTGCACGCGTGTAAGCTGAGAGTGGACCCGGCCAACTTCAAGGTGAGCAGCCAGCTGGAGCTGGACCCACTGTCGTCGGAATGGGGGTCTAATCAGGACACAGTGTGGGGGGATGGGTGAGACACCCCTGTCTCTGCAGCTCCTGGGCCACTGTCTGCTGGTGACCCTCGCCCGGCACTACCCCGGAGACTTCAGCCCTGCTCTGCAGGCATCGCTGGACAAGTTTCTGAGTCATGTGATCTTGGCACTGGCCTCCAAGTATCGCTAAACCAGGGGTCGTTGTCTCGGGATCCCCCAGCTGTCCCCTCCCACGAAGTCCCAGTGTTTGAGTAAAGGCCACCAAGGCTTCCGCCTTCTTGCTGTGTTCTCTCTGGGAAGATGGGGGTAGGATGCCAGTGGGGGAGGGGGGTGGAGGCGCCGCCCCTCTGGGAGAGGCCTGAGCCCGCAGGCCCCTCAAATGATGGAACTGGGGGTGCCCCTCCTGCCCCTCCAACCAGGTGACAAGAGGAGTTGCAGGCTACCTCTCCCCCTGACAAATTTCGAGCATCTGGTCCCAAATCCCATATCACTACTAATATGAAATCAATATATAAACAATTACACGCTAATAAGAACAATAAAACACTAATATAGTCCAGTTCGGGGTAGAGGGAAGTGGGAGGGGGGAAGGAGTGGATATTTGGCAGGAGGGAGGGCATGAGGTGGATCTCACCTAATGTGCACATTGTTTTTGTTTTTTTGTTTTTGAGACAGACCTTCAAGGTGTCACCCTCAGTAGAGTACTGTGACATCACAGCTCACAGCTCCAACTCCTGGGTTTAAGCAATTCTCCTGCCTCAGCCTCCCAAGTAGCTGGGATTACAGGCACTCACCACGACGACTGGCTATTTTTTGGTTGTAGTTGTCATTGTTGTTTGGCAGGTCCAGGCTGGATTTGAACCTGCCAGCTCTGGTGTATGTGCTAGTGCCTTACCGGCTTGAGCTATAGGCCCCAAGCCCTAATGTGCCCATTGTGAGGGTGTATAACACGCTCCCTGGGTAAGGGGCTCTTCTACAAATGGAACTTTGCCCTGGGAGTGAGGGTAAAAATTGTGCCCTCATATTAATTTGAAAAAATAAAAATACTCGGCTTGGTGCCTATGGCCAAGTGGCTAAGGTGCCAGCCACATACACCTGAGCTGGCAGGTTCGAATCCAGCCCTGGCCCACCAAACAACAATGGCTGCAACCAAAAAATAGCTGGTCGTTGTGGCAGCTGCCTTGTAGTCACAGCTACTTGGGAGGCAGAGGCAGGAGAATCACTTGCGCCCAAGAGTTGGAGGTTGCTGTGAGCTGTGATGCTGCTGCACTCTACCCAGGGCAACAGCTTGAGGCTCTGTCTCAAAAAAAATAAATAAATAGGGGCAGCAGGCTCGGCGCC